CACCTCTTTCAGTCCCCTTTACATCTCTGTCTCTTTCCTTCCATTCTCGTTTCTTTCCTCTTCTCCCCTATCCTAACCCTGTCCACCTATTTTTTCTCTTCACACTCCTTTATTATTACTTCTCTTTTTGTACTTCTTTCACTTCTATTCTCTCTCTCTCTCTTCTGTATGTCTATCTATTTTTTCTCCTCTCTCTCTATCTCTCTCTCTTTCTTGTCTTGTTCTCTATTTTCCTCTCTCTCTTTCTCTTTGTGTCTTCCCACTCTCTTGCCATTTCTCTGCACTCTCCCTTCCTTGTCTCTCTCCCCTCGCTTCTCCCTCCCTTCCTTCCCTTTCTTTTGTCCTCTCTCTTTTTCTCTTCTCCCTCTCTCTTCCCTTTTCCTTTACCGTCTCCTTGCCCTCTCCCTTCCTTCCCTTTTCTTTTACCCTCTCTCTGCCCTTTCTCTTCTCCCTCTCTCTTCCCTTTTCCTTTACCCTCTCTCTGCCCCTTCTCCTCTCCCTCTCCTTCTGTTTGCTCGTGTCTCCCTCTCCATTTAACCGTGCGTGTGATGAGATCTTGAGACGTGCGGTAGAATCTTCGAGAAAGATTTAGGTGATTTAGACGCCCACGAGGGTGCCGTGAATCTTAGACTCAAGGTATCAATTCATATCTGAAAACATATCTTCATATTAGCATGTCTTAATATATCATTCTATTGTTCAAAGCCTTGTTATATTACCGTGTTGTACTATACATATCTTAAAGTATATCCCGTATTAAACTGTGTGTCAAGAGATTATATATCCTGTATTAAACTCTCTTAATATATCATCCTGTTATTCAAAGCCTTGTTATATTACCAGGTTGTACTATTCATATCTTAAAGTATATCCCATATTAAACTGTATGTCGAGAGATCATCATATTCTAAGCCTTATGTTATCGTGTAAGTGTCTCGTAAATTTATCATATACTTTGGCTCATAATGCCACCAGCCATAATGCCTTATATTATTACGGTAGCATATAGCACACTCTATCTCATTATGCTGTACTAAGCAATATATCTAACAAGATTATTATTTACAGTTTTGTGTAACAGCATACGGAATGTCATGTGGCAAAATTTAATAACATTTCTCCTCCCTTTTTCAGTTCGTTGAATGTGAAAACAACCATAAATAACATTTGATATTTTAACGAACACGTGTAAGGTGAACACAGATGAACATATCATTTTGAGAAAAAGCATAAATATAAATGAAATGAAATACCTGTTCATAAATATACTATGAAAAATATAGTTTCATAAACAATGAATTAATGAAAGATTTGAAACCTTAAACAAACACGCAAATATGTAGATGAATAAGTGAGGTAGAGAAGAAACAAATAAGTGGTAGAATAAACAAACAAAGAGATAAATAAATGAACAAATTGGAAAAAAAGACAAGACACAAACAACATAAAAATCACAAAACCAGCTCTTCCTGTGTGTGGAGGGGGGAGGGGGGGGAGGGGGGTTAAGAGCTTTTTGTCCTTGGAAATACGTGATAAAATTGGACTTACATCCGAAACTTTTAGTATAACAGGTGAGAGGGAGATAGACAAAGTAAATAAACGAGAGGAAAAGGGGGATATGATATAGTTTGATCTTTCCAGAGAAGCCAAGGTGCTGTGACTATCATAAAGAAAAATCACTTTATTTTTTCCTATTTTTTCTATTATCATCATATTCTTTTTATGATTCTTTTAAGAGTTGGGATATTGAAGACATTTGCATATATACTGTTACTCTATGTACTATTTTACACCAGTCATATTCGCTTGTATATATATATATATATATATATATATATATATATATATATATATATATATATATATATATATATATATATATATATATATATATTTACGTGTGTACTGAATACCTGTTGGTGTCGCTCTGTTTCCATCACACGCCAAAATTCTTGCTAAAATTATTCGCTGTTTGCAGTAAGCTATCTCCAGTTTGTATGCTTGTCTCATCAATTCTTAATACCTCTTAAATATTCCAGCATCCATCTTTTCTTCTGCCTTCCCCTCTCCCTTTCTCCTTTTTCACTTACCTTCGCATTTTCTGCTTTCAGTAATGGTTATCTTTCACCTCTTGAGATTCATCGTTATATACCTTAGTCTCCCCTCTTATACATTCTTTCATACTTGTCTTACCTTCATCGGTCCTTCTGTGCATTCACTTCTAATCTTAAACTCCCTTTTCATTCAGTTTGTCAGTGTCACTTTTGTTATTTTCCTCTCTTTACGTCTCCTTCGGACTTCTCTTGATGTTTTCTCAATCTCTAGAGCGCAGCTGAATCAGGATTTTTTTTTTATGGCATGATTTCAAAAGAATGTTTTTCGTTGTGTTTTTATAGCGTCGAGAAGGATTTTTTCTTCTTCTTTTTGCCGGAAATCTTTTTTTTTTTTAAATGGGTCCTTTGAGCAGTCCTTAATTTCACGTTTTCCCCTTCACTTTGTTCTGTGTTCTCTCCCTCTTCTCTTGTTCCGTTTTCTTTGATGACTTCATCCGTTTTCTTTGATTCTTCACTTGTTCCGTTTTCTATGTTTCTTCACTTGCTGCGTTTTCTTTGATTCTTCACTTTGTTCCATTTTCCTTCCTTATCACTTTCTTCTGTCTTCTTTGCCTCTTCGTTTTTAACCTAATTCTTGGTAAGTCATTGTTTACATCTGTTGTTCTATTATTTATATGTACACGCTTCTGTGTTCATCTTTACCAAGCACATTTCGCTGCAACTGAAACATGTTTTATTCTCGTTTAGATTGTGACCTCGTTCCTTTATTAATATTAGCGTATACGTTTGTGTGCACGTTATTTTCCACTATATTTCTCCATATGTCTTTGCCTTTTCTCAGAATTTCTCTGTGGTAAGATAAAGTATATATTTTTCTCTTTCTTAGATCCGAGTTTCTAAATTTTATTTTCCATTTTCAATTCTTTCCTTAACCTACATTGCGTCGTCGTTAAATGTTTCCGCGATGTGGGATATCAATGACTTTTTTATTATTATAATTCTCTCTCTCTCTCTCTCTCT